AAAAAAAAAAAAAACAAGAGAAAGGACTGAAAAGAAATTCACTCAAAATATTAACTATAAATGTTTGGGGACTGGAGAATTACAGGTGACGTTTTTCTACCTTGTCCTTATCCATATTTTCTAGAGTGAACAGGTACTACCTTCACAATTTTAAAAAATAAATATTTTAAAGGAAAGAAATATAAAAACACAATTAGAGTACAGAAAAGGATGACTAAAGCAAGCAAGGAAACATGACTTAATGTATCTGGACAAAACAAAAAACACAGTATTGGATGACAGGAGGCAAAAAGGAAAACAAATTATTTTATACATAAGTGAACATCGACTGATCCATCTTCAATAAGGAGAATTGATGCTAGAGAGGCAAATTTCTGACAATCAGGAGTCAAAAATAATTTTGTTATTGTCTATGGTTGACAGAATAATAACCCCTCGCCCTATGCTCTTTCAAATGCCCATGTTCTTTTTCTTTTTTTTTTTTTCACTTTTTGGCCAGGGCTGGGTTTGAACCTGCCACCTCCGGCATATGGGGCCAGCGCCTTACTCCTTTGAGCTACAGGTGCCTCCCCAAATGCCCATGTTCTAATTCCCAGAACTATGACAATGTGTGATGCAACACAGCAAGAGGGACTTTGCAGATGTGACTACTCAATGATCTTTAGTCTTGGAAGTTACTCTTGACTATCTGGGTGGGCCCACTGTAATCAGTCCTTATAAAATGAAGCAAAACTGGTGTTAAAGAAGGAGATAGGAAGAGATTGGTGTTAGAGGTGGTGATAACAGGAAGCAAAGGTCACAGTGATGCATGGCCATGAGCCAAGGAGTGCTGGTAGCCTCTAGCAGCTGGAAAGGACAAGGAAATAGATTCTTCCCTAGAGCTTCCAGGAGGCACACAGTCCTGCCCATACCTTGATTTTAGCCCAGTAATATTTTGAACTTCTGATCTCCAAAACTGTAAGAAAATAATTTGTGTTGTTTTAAGCCACTAAATTTGTGGTAATCTGTTATGATAGCAATAACAAACTAATATTCTACCTACCTATGCATTCATTCAGTTCCAAGTACAGCCATCAACTTGTGGTTCCTTGTTGCACCAAACACCCTCACACCTCTGCCTAGAACACCTCTCCACCTATCTGCCTAGATCTTTTTTTTTTTTTTGAGACAGTGTCTCATTATGTCACCCTCAGTAGAGTGCCTTGGCATCACAGCTCACAGCAACCTCCAACTCCTGGGCTCAAGAGAGTCTCCTGCCTCAGCCTCCCAAGTAGCTGGAACCACAGGTGCCCGCCACAACCCCTGGCTTTTTTTGTTGTTGTTGCAGCCGTCATTGTTGTTTGACAGGCTCAGGCTAGATTGGAACCCGCCACCTTAGGTGTATGTGGCTGGTGCCTTAGCCACTTAAGCCACAGGCGCCGAGCCTATTTTGTTTTTTCTTTGCTGTTGTTGTCATTGCTATTTAGCTGCCCCGAGCTGGGTTCGAACCTACCAGCCTTGCCAGCCTTGGTGTATGTGGCTGGCACAGTAACCACTGTTATCTGCCTAGATCTTATTTTGTTCTTCAAGAGTAATTTAAAACATCACTTCCCCTTGGAAGCTTTGCTGACGCTGGGCTCCTCCACTGTTTAGTACCACATATTTCTTTTCAGCACTCACAACTCTCAAGTTGTAATCTTTGATAATTTTATTCCTATTAGTACCACTCTGCCAATTCTTACTTAATAAGTGGCTTTATTACTTGTTCCTTAGTTACCTTATGGGCCTCTCTGACAATATAATAAGCTTGCAGAGAACAAGGCCTACTCTTGTATGTGTACAGACACACACATGTAGTAGGCCTCCATGTGCTTAATATACAATGCTCCAACACAAAAAACAAAAGAATGAGCAGTGCCTGTGTCTCAATGGAGTAGGGCGCTGGCCCCATATGCCAGAGGTGGTGGGTTCAAACCCAGCCCACCAAAAAAAAAAAAAAAAAACCTGCAAAAAACAACACAAAGGTTTGGTGGCATACACCTGTATTCCCAGCTCCTCAGATGCTGAAAAAGGAAAATCACTTGAGGCAAGGAGTTAGAGGCTGGAATGTACTATGATTTGCACTTGTAAATAGCCTCTGCACTCCAGCCTGGGCAGCATAGCAAGATCCTGTTTCTAAACAAAAGAAAAAAAAAATCCAATAAATGCTCATTTAAAAAATGAGCCAGTCTACTTTATAACAAGTTATTTCTCAGGAAGCAAAGGAAAATAACCATAATAATATCTTCTCATAATGTATTTTATTCTATAATTTATTCATCTGCATAATAAATTAAGCTCATTTATTCAGTTAGTTTGCTCCTTTAAAAGAAAACCTTAATGGCACTTTTTATAGTGGAATTATTTGGTTTTATATTGATGGTCTTTTACTTTGACCACCAGGTACAGTACCTGATGTAACCAAAACTTATTTTGTAAAAAATAGTAATTGGCTGTCTACTATGTGCAAGTAATGTCTAGGATGTAGGGAAATATGTGAATAAATCAAAGCTTATGCTCTGGGGGGGGAATATACAAATAAATCATATATGAAGCAAAACATTATAAAGGAAAGATGAAGAAACATGATAAAAAGATTAATGAGGTGACTCCCCTTGGAGTATAAAAAAAGTCTTTAATGGGACAAATGCTGTGGTCAACAGAAGAGAGCAGGTGATAGTAGTTATGACCCAGGGCCTTAAAGTTAAATAGAACTGGATTCAAAGCCAGTTCTAACACCTACAGTATACCCTTGGCCAAATTAACTTCCCTGAGCCAGCTGGGTCATCTGTAAAAAGGGGCTAATTGACACTCTCTCTCATAAGGTTATTTTGAGAATTATATGTATAAGATAATTCATGTGAAATGGTTAACATATGATGCTAGACACATAAACAATTAATACATTGCAGCTTTTATTGTGATATATTTGAATCAATGAATAACATTTTTAATAATGATTTCAAAACCAAGCTTCCTTACACAATAATGTGTGTTATAAAAAAAGCATTCAAAAAATATACATTCATGCTGGGGCACAGTGGCTCACGCCTATAATCCCAGCACTCTGGAAGGCCAAGGTGGGAGGATTGCTTGAGGTCAGGAGTTTGAGACCAGGCTGAGGAAGAGCAAGACCCTAGTCTCT